GGTGTTCTCCTCCTATATAATTTAAAGTCTTAGAAAACCCACTGAGGAGGAGGTCGGCTGTAAAGCCATTCAAACTGAATTGGTTAGAATCAAGTCACAGGTCTTTCTACATTCAAGGAGACAAAATTACACAGAGGCATGAACATCAGGAAGAAGGGATCATTGGAGCTAACTTATGGTTCTATCTGCTATAAATGTTAGTTGTTTTTCTTAACATCATAGCTCACTTTGCTCACTGAGGAAATTTCTGCCAAATAACCAATTCCATATAATCGTAATTTCTGTGTCAGTTGTTCTTTCAAGTAAAAGATATTTGTGGATAAAAAAATAAATAAAAATTTAAAAAATATTTCTTGAAAGAGGTAGATATTTCAGCTCAAAAGTAATTGGTACAAATGCTTTTCTTTAAGGCAGCCATTGTACTTTGGAATGCAGAAGAAATGCCTCATACATACTTCCTAATTTATCATGTTGAATATTTAAAAAGGCACACCATCAAGGATGAATTTCTTTTTTTTAACTTTTCTCCATAATCAAGGACGTCATTAAATGCAACTGCCTTATTTAACCTACAAATATATAGTGATGGAGTACATGATGATTCCTAATGCAATTTTGTGTCATTTATTTAAAAAAATTAAATGATCTTATTCTGATATAACAAGTTACTGAAGCTTATGCCTGACAATATAGCATTAGAAAGTTTATTAGAGAATCCAAGGACCATCCATCAGGAGGCCCCAAGCAAGACTCATCCTATTTGAGCCTCTTGTTACCAAAGAAAAGAGTTAGAAATCTGTGGGGTGAAAAATCTGAGATGAGTGGGAAGGTGTGTTATCATCAAAAACCACATAATTTACTGTCTCTGTTTCTGAGCCAATTTCATTGTCACGCCTTAGCACTGCTGGTGAAGAGACTAAGCTTCAGAAGAACAGAATGAGCCTTAACCCTCTCTTTAACCCAAGAAACAGGAATAACAAGATAGAAATGAAAAAAGAAGCTCTGCAGATTTGTTTGTGGAAAAGGAAGCATTAGTTAGGGCAGGTCAAGAGAGGGCTCACCCAGGGAAGGAACACAGCAATGAGCAAGGAATTTCTTCTTGAACCAAGGACCATAAGAGTGACCCAGGGTCAGAGTTGAAGTTCTGGTCATTTAAGGCCTCAGAGATAACTTGGGCACAATGGAGGAAAGAAGAGCAAGAAGCAGGTTCTACTGGGGCTAAGTATCTCACAAGAAGTAGAGTGTCCCTCCCAGAGCTTTCTCCTCAAAGAAGTGCATTTTATAAGGAGAGGGACCTAGACCCCATAGTCTTTGAACTTAGACATGAGTGTGACATTGGCACCAACAAAAAAGGAGATGGTTAGTCAAAAGCTAGCTGAGTGGAAAGGAGATGGAAGAGGGAGGCCAAGGAAATATCTCTTTCTCAATGAAGCATGACCCTTACTCTGAGTTCATACCACAAAGCCTGTCACCAGAGAGTGAGTCATTCCTTAAGGAACTATTTCCTTTACGTTCTCAAAGCAGTCTTCCCTTCCCCCCCCCTTTATCCATCATCTATTAAGTCCTTCTATGTATTTCTCCTGGCATTCCTTACTTTCTTTAACATATAATTCTATAGGAATAGAAGAGAGGGGGGAAAAATAGCAGTTGATCATAAGCTTAGCACCTACTATAATGAGGTAGCTTTGAGCATAAAATGTGACGGTGCCCTAGTGGGGGAGTTTATAGGCAGTTGAGCTGGTAACCCAAAGGTGACACCTCTCTGTTGGTTCCAACCATGTGATTTACAGCCTCCAAAAACCCATTGGAGGATCAACTGCAAGTCATTTCAGACTGAACAGCTATGAGGGAGTGAGTCCTTGAATTTGAAAGAAGCTCTGGTGGTGTAGTCTATAATGAGTTGCACTGCTAAACCAAAGGCTAAACATAACAAGTGGTTTGAAGTCATCCGTGACTCAGCTAGAGAAAGATGGGCTGCTTTCCCTCATTACTCTTTAACCTTGAAAACTGATAGTTCCTATGAGTTGGAAGTGACTAGACTGTAGTGAGTTTGTGATTTTTTGAGGGGGAATTATTTTTTACTGACTCTGATGATCTGGTAAAGGAGATGATGGTGGTCACTGTGCCTAAGTGCCCAGGTTTACGTGAAATGACAGTGTCTTTGTATTGCAGGTGGGGAGGAGCTCATACACACTCTAGTATAAAGGATAGCTTGAGTTTCCCAGGAACAACACTTACTAACATATTGCCTATTGAAGGCATCCCGGGTTAGAGACCTTAGTGTCATCTTATTGTGAGCAAGGGAAACCACTGCTGAAACATTTAGGTTATCTTAGCTGCCTTATTTCTGTGTCACACCATGAGAAGAAAGACATGAAGAGAGGAAGGGGCCTTAGGACAGTATCATCACATCAAACAGAAATCCAGTCAATCCTGAATGTCCATTCCAGTAACTTCCAGCACTGTGATTAAGACACCAGCTTAATGTTTCCTTTTAAGTGACAGCATCTCAGTTCAAAAGCAAGCTTTAGCCTCTTCTTTCCCCTCCCAAGATTGAATCTACCAAGAGAAGTATAATCAGATGATTCACGTATTGGCAGCAGCATCATGACCTCCCAGAAGAACCAGAAATGCCGATTGTTTATCTCCAGAGGCACTTCAAATATTTAGCAGCTCAATAGGACATGCATGAGCCAAAGTTTAGGGTCTTGGTCAAGTAGCATGGTGACTCATAGTCCCTAAAGCCCCAAATTGTGCTGCTCCCAACAACCCCAACACACAGGACAGGCTACATGGACAGGTTCCATTGACATCATTATCAGTAAGTGCCAGACCATGTTAAGCCCCAGATTTTCATCACAAAAGCTGGAATGAGGATAGTGACCCCCCAAAAAATCCCTCTTCCTTAGGGCAGGGCTCATTTGCTGCATAAAAAGCCAGCTGATCCGTCAACAGAGAAAAGCAACAGACAAGACAGCATATTCTTCTCAGTGTACCAGGTAGGTCTCCCCACTGGAAACATCCTATTTTATCTAGATTTGGATCTCCTTGGCATTCTAAGATATTTTTTTTTACTTAAAATGAAGTTGTATTTTCTATTAGACTTGTTGAATATATCATTTTTGCTGCTGTTGTTGCTAGGAATGTATACAACAAAATGCACATCATTCAAAAGCTTCAACATTAACTATCATATAGTGGTATTGTTTGCCTTCTTAGATTCTTATAATCATTCTCACTATCCCTTTTGGAGTTGTTTCTCTCATTAACATAAAAATTCACTGACTCCCTAATGATCCTATCTAATCTTTCAAGTTACTATTGTTCATTTGCTCTCAGACAGATCTTAGAAAGGATAGTGCTTAAAAAATAAAACAAATAGGTTTTAACTATTTGAGTTAAATTATTGCTTGATTTTAAGAAGAATTCAGGGAGTATTTTTGGTTGAAAATTTAAAGATTATCATAGGATGATAATTTCAGGATTCATCTAATTCCTCTAATGGCTATGGCTTCAGGAAGTCTGGTGTCCAATAGAATTTTAAATCTGTTATGTACTGTTCTATTTTTTATCAAGATTTATCTATGGAATCATTGACAAAAATGATCATTAATGTTGGGTAGGCACCACGTTTCTTCTAGTCTCATGGCAAAGGAACCAATTACTTTTGAAGGCAATTAGGCACACATTCCATATGCTCATCCTATTTCTCACTCTTTTTCTTATTATGTTGTTTCATGGGGATGTAGAATAGTTGTTGTGTCTTGGATGTGCTTATCCACTTTAAAGAACCAAGGTATTACCCATCAAACTAGAAGGTGGAATAAAGGCATTGACTGAGGACAATTAACAGGGATAATTTACAGATTATTAAAGGCCACCAGCTGTGGACTTTACAGATCTTCCCATCTGCCATTGTAACTGTGCAGCAGTAGTCAGTAAGGCAATTTCTGGAACTTCTGTGAGTTAGAAAAAATATTTAGACTAGCGTACGTTTTTATTCTTCCATTCACCGGCTGGAGGTTCAGCTACGAGTCAATTCCAACTTGGATCCAACATGACAATAACAATAACAGCAATAGTTATTAGGATAGGACAAAGTTCAGATATTATTCACAGAGCTACTATGAGCTGTAATTGACTTGACAACAACTAATAGCAACAGTCTTTATTGAACATTTGCCATATCAAAGGCATTTACACAAGGCAATTTGGAAGTTCCACCATACAAGGACAGTGACTTCCAGATAAAAAAAGCAGGGCAGGTGATACGTAATGGCAATATGGGGATGAAGACTGGAAATCAGGCAGAAGGTTCCTGGGAGGAGTGTCATGAACATGTACAGAGGGGACTCTGAGCAGTCTGAAGTGAGCACATGGGGTGCTCAGGAGAGGTTTATAGAGAATTTGTCTGTGAGAGCTCAAGTATTTTACAAGCTGGACTTGAGTAAGGAGACTCAGGTGTTTTATTTTATCACAAAGCTAAACTATCTGAAATCTAGGGCCTCATATTAGTCCTAGGAGCATATTGCTGGGCTAGGCTGTATTTCTAACATGACTATTTCAATGTGCCTTGGGGAAAAAACCAAGTACAGTGAAAGGCTTGGGACACATGTGGAACAGCAAAACAAATCATTCTTAGAGTTTTTCTCTTGAAAGGACACAGGAATCATTGAAATACCCTTTACTCTAAAGCTAAGAGAAACAGGAAGAGTAGAGCGTCTCTCACTTCTGAGGGAGAATGAAATGAGATATGCTTTAATTTTAATGTTAGCCTCTCTCCTTATGTAGCCAAACTGTTGGCTCTGTTTTTCTTTCTCTAGGTTCATCCACCATTGAATCATGAGCTCCTACCAGCAGAAGCAGACCATCGTCCCACCACCTCCACCTCAGGAGCAGCAGGTGATTCAGCCCTTCCTGCCTCCACAAGAACCCACAACTAAAGTGCCATACAATCCCCAAATCCCACAGCCTGGCAACATCAAAGTTCCAGAACCAAGCAACCCCAAGATTCCTGGGCCAGGCCACTCAAAGAACACAGAATCATACCCCTCACCAATCACTCCAGGCTCAGGTCAGCAGAAGACCAAGCAGAAGTGATGTGACCTTCAGACCTGCCCTGAAGGAGCTGACCACGGGATGCTGAGCACCTTCTTCTAATCTGCTTCTGTATCTTAATTGCCTGTAGACTTTGTAATCATTATGCTGTCACCTTGACTCATAGTCTCTCTCTTATTTGCACCCTAAAAAAATATGGGCTATGAAGCTTTCTCCCAAGGTGCTCTAGAGTGTGCCCTGAGCCTCTCTGAATTAAGCAGGAGATCTCAGCATCTTTTCTGGCCTTCATGTAAAGAGTGATTCCAGATGGACATAAATGTGTGTTTCATGCTTTGCCTCCATTAAATCCATTTTCATTGCACTTGAGCTATGTGTGTGACTTACAGATCCCACCCTTTTTCTTCAACCCTATCATGAATCAGGTGCTATTCACAGATGAAATGATAAAAAATACTAAAGAGCCTCTCTACCCAGATATAGAAGTCATTTGACCCTGACACATATATGAGTTATGCTTACAGGCCATTTGTGGTCTGCGATGGATATTGTGGGCTGATAACAGCAGCCTTGCTTTCACACATAAAGCAGGGCTCTCCTCTTGCCTTGTCTGAGTCGGTACGGTTCTGTTGGCTCCTGCTCCAAGCTGTCTCTAGCCCTTAGTATTCTGCCCACATTCCCTCTTTACTCAAAGCAAGTTATTATTCATACATACTTGAATCTAATAATAATGCTTTTTTCTTTTTCTTTTGACATAATCTATACATGTATGTATACACGCAAACATATATGTATACTCTTTATATATATCTTCACACTTACATGATACACACATCCCATTAGAACAGGCAATGCTGGGTGTTTACCTGTATGCATTTGCCAAAATATCAGAAAGAAAAAGAGGATGATACAGACTGAGTCCCCTGAAGAATGTTCCATTTTCTCCAGGATATGTGATAATCAGGCCCTTCTCATATCATCATATACATACACAAGTACACACACAAACTCCAGAGTTTCTCTTCCAGAATAATCCACAGATACACTGGGGGAAAATACATTAGTTATATGTAGGTATTAGGAAAATGTGATGAACACCAGAAAAGCCTGTCCCTGAGTTTTAAATGCTAGGGCTGAAAGACTTAAACAGCACCTAGTGTATACCTTTCACTTTTCCCACAAAGAAATGAAAATACAGAAAGGAAAGGACAATGGAGGTCACCTAAGAATTGTATTTCTGAATCACACCTGGAACCCACTTCTCCAGACTCCCAGCCATGGCTTTTTCTGCATCTTCATCTGGAGTCTAGAGAGCTATCAGGTTTGTAGAACTGTAATGAGCAGGTCTAATATATTAGTGAACAGGTTCTTGAAACAGAAAAACCAGCCTAAGATTTCAGAAGGGAGCAAATAATTCTCTTAACCAGGGTGTGTGACCCATGAAATCAGGAGGGTGTGAGGCAGATGACGGGTAGCACTTGTGTGAGGCACAAACACTGTAGATAGCCTTGGCAAATAATCCAGAGGTATTTGGAAAGTGTAAGGTAGAAATTGTGATGAGTAGCTGATGACTAATCTTGATATGAAAGACTGACATCACTTGAATATGTAAGGTATGAACTGTGTCATATGACTGCTAATGTCAATGATGAAAGGATATAGAGATATGGTATAGAGATAACTTCAGAGCTAATCGCAATCATATAGGAAACTCCTGAGGGGAGAAATGGGCTCTATGATCACAGCTATTATTAACATAAAGAAATTTAAACATCTTAAAGGAGAAAATATAGAGTTGAAGAGTCAAAAGCTTTATGACTTGCTTGACTTTTTGTCCATCAAATCCATTCTAGAAATTTATTTTTATGGTTCATTTCACCATTCTCTTTAATAGTAAGTGTGGGAAACCAAATTTCATACCAAATTTTATATGATAAACCATATGCTTAATCAGAAACTGAAGGAATAACAAAATATAAGTTGGAATTTCTCTTATGACAGATCACAGGAAATGAGCTGCTTCCTGCAGACAAGAGGCAGGTAGGGTCCCCCTGCAGAGAGAGTTAATACATGTGAAATACTTCCTTCCTGAGCTAAGCAGTAGGTTGAAAACAGAGAAAAACTTGGCTTCATTTACAACAGAATTCTCTATGATTTATTTCCCCTGATTGTCAATAAATACACAGAAAGGAGTGGCTTGTGGCACTTCCCTTGTTGAAACTGCTTACCCTCTGCTTTTAAGCTCTCTGTTTACTTGGTGTTTTGTCTCATTATTAATTATTAATATACTTTAGCAGAGAGTACAAGAGGAATGTCTATCTGTGCTTCATTACTATGCAAAGGCTTTTGATTGTGTCGATTGTGTGGATGACAACAAGCTATAGCTGACTTTGAGAAGAACGGGAATCCCAGAACATTTGATTGTGCTTAAGTGAAACCTATACTTGGACCAAGAGGCATTTGTCAGAACAAAGCATGGAGACACTGCATGGTTCAAAATTGGGAAGGGGGTCCACCAGGGATGTATTCTGTGTCCATACTTTTTCAATCTGTATGGAGAACACATCATCCAGGACACTGGGCTGTATGAGGAGGAATGTGGCATCAGGATTGGTGGAAGATTCATCAATTCATCAACAACCTGTGTTATGCAGATGACACAACCCTGCTTGCTGAAACTGCTAGAAGAACAAATAGGTTTGTCCTGGAGAGGGTGAAACTGGGCTGCTCCTTTGAGGCAAGGATTCTGAAGCTTCGTCTGACATACTTTGGGTCCTTGGAGAGGGACATCATGTTTCGGAGAGTGGAGGGACAGCGCAGGATAGGAAGACCCATGATGAGATAGATTGATTCAGTGACTGGGGTAATGGGAGTAGGTGTATCAGAGACAATGAAGTTGGCACAGGACAGTATACATAGGGTTGCTATGAGTCACAAGTGACTTGAATACACATAACAACAACAAAAACAACCCTTGGTCTGCAACAAGAAGTTAACAACAATAAAAATGTGTTATCAGAAGTGAACTGATTGAATAATTCATAAATGTCTATACGGAAATTATAATTCAATTATTTGAAAAAGGATGCTGGAGAAAAACACTTATTAAAAATGTTCATATTATTAAGTGTTTGGGTTATGTTGCTTAAAAATCAGACTCCAAAAGGAAGGAATAACAAAATGCATATTTGGTAACATGATTTTAGATGAGTATATAAACAACTTTTAAGATCTTGACAAAATACAATCTGTAGTTATTTGTACTGCTTCTGTATCATTATTTTTAATTTTTATTTTTTATATGACAATTTATATAATATTACTTTAAAAATATAATCATTTCAAGTACCATAATTGCCATAATTTTCTAGACATAAAAATCTCTGTCCTACCTATCCAAAGCATTCTGTAGCTTTTCAGAGGATCTTAAATGAGCATCCCAGATTGAGAGACACATTATTTGTTGACGCATCCCCCTATGTCTCTTCTCTTCCACATACCCACATCCTAATTCTATAACTTCAATTAAGGGTCCTGGAATACTACTCAATTCTACTGACATTTTTAAGTCAAGGTCTTCGAATCTTACCTACTTTGAGTTGTTACTAGTCACAATTTTTAAGATAAATTGTTCTCTTTTTTGTCTCAGCTCCTTCTTTAGCTCAAATCTTTCTTTATTTCATATGGCAGATTGTCTCCTATTCAGTTCTCATTTTATACTTCTGTAGCAGGATAAAGCTTCTGTCTGAGAAATCTATCTGAACAGTAGCAGTCTGCAATGTAGCTGCTGATCCCAGCCTGTGTGGGTGTAGAAATGCACATTTGGTTTCTCTTTATGGATTTTCCTTGTTGATTGGTGTTGTTTTTGTTTTTTTTTTTCACCTTTGTGTTCCATCTTCCTTCCAGGCCTTGATTTCCAAAATTGGCAGGAATAAAAGAGTTCATTTTTTTTACTCAGAGAGTTCCTTGTACTCCGAGCTGATCTTTCCTTTATTTCTGACTCAGAAGGTCTCATTCCCATGTGTCTAAAGTCAATCAATTTACTAATCTATTCTTTGTTACCCTCTAAATGAATTTATGGTGAGCTCTGGAGGCTTAGTAATAAGAAATTATACTGTTCATTCAAAGGTACAAGGTTTGAATTCATTAGCCACTCTATGGGAGAAAGATGAGTAATCTCCTCCCATGAAATTTACAGGCTCTGAAAACCTGCTAGGGGGTCAGCTATGAGTTAGTTCCAATTTCTTGATCAAAACAACTGAATTTATAGAGAGCTCTGATAGCATTTCTCTCTCTGGAATGAGAGAAAGATGGACTATCTCCTCCCATGCAGTTTACAGCCTCTGAAATCCACTGATTTATCAGTTATGAGTCAGTGCCAATTCAATGGCACATAGTAACAACATCAACTGAATTTATTGTATTCTGTCCATTCTGTCTCCACTTTCCTTCCTGTTTTCTTTGATTTTCTTCATTAAGCACAAGTCTACCAGACATCCTATACCTTTTATAGAATCAAGTTGTCTCTCTTGGTTTTGGGAACTGATGACCTTTTTCTGATCCTAATTTTTAGGTACAGGTATCAAATTAGCCAGCACTTATTCAAAACCCATACCATAGCATTCATCATATCCACAATTATTGAAATCCATATTTTTCCTACTGTAAATTCCATGAGAGTCGGAAGTTTCTCTGTCTTGCTAAGGGTTGTACTAATACAAGACTTTAGCCTACTGCAGTCAAATGTTGTTGTTGTTAGGTCCAGTTGAGTATGACTCATAGCAAAATTTTGAACAGCCATTCTGAAATTTGCCCTATCCTGTGCCATCCTCAGCAACTCTGAGACACTAAAGCCCATTGTTGAAGTCACAGTACCAATCAATCTCATTGTCGATCTCTCTCCTTTGCTGACTCTCCATCTTTCCAAGCAAGATGTCTCTTTCCAAGGAATAACATGACATAACTGTCTTGTGTGGCTTTTTTGGCAGTCCATGGAATATTCCATATTCTTCTCCAGCATCACAACTCAAAAGCATCAATTCTTC